TCCGTTAAATACCCCCTGAATTCCCTCAATCTTGAATAGTTCTTCATCTTTTGTCTTGCACGACCTTGAGATGTTTGCATTGCACGGACCGTTAATTTTTATAGAAGAAATGTTTCATGCAACCTGTTCAGGGCTGACGTAGCTCAGGATTTGAAAAATGAGATGCAACTCTGCGAGGAAAAAAAAAAAACACACCCACAAAACGAGCCCAGAAACAGTGCACTACAAACACGGTGATCAATGCAATGAAACAAGGCGCTGTATGGAGATGTTCATTGACATGTTTTACAAAATACCCTTTTTTCCCCGATGACACACACACAACAGTGCTGAAACCGAAAGCAGATGCAACATGGAAGGCCCCTCCCGCGCCAATCACCTGCACTTTCTCCCGTCCGTGGCCGGGCAGGCTTCCGCCGGAGGCACGAACCTCGCCGCGTCACAGTCCGCGCTCAGCCGCGGCCGCCATTTTCTGCCGCGGCCTTGCGCCGCCTCAGGCCCCGCCCCCGGGTCCGCCCCCGCCTCAGGCCCCGCCCCGCCTCAGGCCCCGCCCCGCCTCAGGGCACGCCCCCCGCGTCACCAGCCTCGTTCCCAGGCGCGCGCTCCCCGCCCCCGCCCCCGCCCCGAGCCGAGGGGCTCGGCTAGCGCTTTTCTGACTGACGTCATCGCCTCCCCTCGCGGGGCCTTCGGGACCGCCCCTCCCCCAGGGCCACGTGACGCCACAAAGCCCGCCTCCCCATGGAGACCGCCCCCTTCCCAAGCTCCGGGCGCCATTGCGCAGGCCCGGGCCCACCTCCGCGGCCGCGGCTTCTCAGGCCTCGCCCTCCGTCCCCGCGCAGCCAATCGCGCCCGGTTCTCAGGCGGGAGCTCCGCCGCGGGCCCCGCCCCTTTCCCAGACCAGTGGGTCCATTCACAAGCACTTCCCCGCCCGAGCGCACTCTCCTGTGCGCAGCTGTCCCCCGCCCCCGCGGCCGCTCCGGGGCCCTCCGCACTGTCCCCCGCCGCGGCCAGCACTCCCCCGGTGCCCGCAGCCAGGCTGGCAGCTCAGCCTCACCAGCTCTCGCCGTCCCGCAGCGGACGCCCCCGCCCACTCTCGCAACTCTCGATCTGGCACCACTGCCTGGCCTGGCGCGGCATCCTTCTGCGCCGGGGCTGTCCACCTTTAGCCCCGGGCGACCGGTTCCCTCCGAGCGACGCCATCGCCTTTCGTCCTCTCCTCCGCCTTGGCATTGGGAGATTGGAAGCGGCCCCCTCAACTGCCACTTCCGGATTCTGATCCCGGAAACGGAAAGGGAGCCCCCCGTTCTGCGGAGGGTCTGACCCCACGGAGTGGCGCGTGCAAGGGTTCGTTGGCGTTGGGCGGGGGGCGGGGCTGTGTGCGGTGGCCGGTGAATGGGCAGGGTGACACCTCCCTTTTGGAAAAAGACACAGGTGTTTGGTGGGGTTCTAAGGCCATGAGTCCAGGCAAGCGGTCGTTTGGGAAGTGGAGGCTGGGGTCTCCCGGGTGGATGTGGGGGGTATACTGGGGAGTGCCCAAAGGCACACAGGTTCCAGGTCTTCCCTGGTCCGTGCTCTGCGGGGGGCCGCGGGTCCCTACCCTTCCTTCAGTGCACTGCTCTCTGGTCCCTCCAAACCCAACACAAAACAGTCACCACCCCCAGAGCGCCACCGAGGCAGAACTAGTCTCTAGACAAATATGTTGAAGGCACGTCAGCCCCAGGCCCTGTGTATCTGTAGTAGTTACAGCAATAACTGATAACGGTCTTGCTTTATTGCAGGTATTTAGGCAGCAGATAACATCACCTGGCGGGGCAGGCCGAGGACCAGGAATGTTTCGCAAATTAGGCCTTCCAGGGTTCAGAAGACCCTAGGGGAGTTCACAGTCAAAACGGTTCACTGTCGTTCTCTCTTGCATGTGAGGCTACGTGACATAAGAAGGAAAAAACGCTTTCTGGCTGTCAGCTTCTTATAAAAGGATCCCAAGACCAAGTGTGACAGCCGCTGCAGTAGAGTAGATTTCCTCAGCCTAGGCACTGGTGGCCTTTCTCTGGGGCAGAAAGCATTGCAGGATGTTTTCCTGCCTCCCTGGCCCCTAGCCACTATAAATACCGGTAGCACTCCCCAGCTGGGACAACCAAGTGTCTCCAGACCTTGCCAAATGTGCCCTGGGGACAGGGCAGGCTTCTCTCCAGTTCAAAACCACTGCACTGGGCTGTGCCATCCTTTCCTCTGCCAGGACTCTTGGCCCTACGTGGTGGTGGTAACTCCCACCTTTCGATTACAGTTCACAGTTTTTTGTTAGTTTCAGGTGTATGTGGGTCCCTCTGGCGCCTTGCATCTACCTTTTTTTTTTTAAATATATTTACTGATTTTGTACAGAGAGGAAGGGAGAGAGATAGAAAGTTAGAAACATCGATGAGAGTCATCGACCAGCTGCCTCTTGCACACCCCCTACCGGGGATATGCCCGCAACCAAGGCACATGCCCTTGACCGGAATCGAACCTGGGTCCCTTCAGTCCCCAAGCCGACGCTTTATCCATTGAGCCAAACCGGTCTCGGCTGCGTCTACCCCAGTGATCAAACTCCCCCAATCAGGCTCGTGGTTCTGGGTTTGTCCCAGTGACTTCCTTCACTTCACCGCCCATCCCCACAGGCAGTAACACAGCGTGCCTGTCCACAGCTCTACGCTCATGCACACAGGTCCCTGGTGTGCCCCGAGTACCCTCTTCTCTGCACACCCCCTCCCCCCAAGGCACAATCTCATAATGTTTTATGCCCCGTTAACCTCTGACAACCTCAGGGGTTATCTTTATTACTGGGATTCTAGCCCTCCGCCCACACCTGGCACAAGTGAGGGGGGGTCACAACTGTTGGCAAACTGAGAAGAGGGAGTAGCCCTTTCAGCTGGGGTGGTCCCTGGAGTCCTTTAGTCTGGCACTTGGCACACTGCCCTTCAAGCCCAGCTGCATCTCGTCTCTGAATTGACTTTCATTGCCCCTCTGCAGACGCCCCCTCCCCAATTACCTGGGTGCTTATCCAAAAGGCCTCCCTCCCCAGACCCGGGCTCTCTGCCTTCCAGAGGCCCACCGCTGCCCACATCAATGACCTTGCCACTTCCCACAGTTGTGAACTCTAAGTTTGGCCTGGCAATCCCACCCCTGCCCCCTTCCAAGATCCTCATTTTCCTTTGCTGCCGTATTTTATTCTAGCCAGGGGGTGGCACAGAATCTGTGTAGGAACTTGTGGAAGTTACAGACCTGTTACAAGGAAAACAGACAGGGAGGGAGCCGTTTTCTCTGCCCACTTTCCTGTCTTTGGGGGCGCGGCAGCCATAAGGCTGCAGGCTGAGGCATCACCCAAGTGCTGACAAATGGTGGGACAGGAGCTAAGCCTCAACTAGGCCCAGTTCCAGGATGTGCTTCCTTTCAGGATCATGTCACCCATGTCTCACCGGGGTTCCCATTACTTTCCAGATACCAATAATCCAAACTCCCAGGGCTACCATTTCCCCGAAAATAAGACAGTGTCTTATAATTTTTTCCCCCAAAGTTGCACCAGGTCTTATTTTCAGGGGATGTCTTATCTTTCCATGCGCTGTCTTATTTTCGGAGTTTGTCTTATTTTGGGGGAAACACGGTATTGACGACCCCACTCCCAATTTTTAATCCAAGTGTTTTAAGATTCCCCTACCTCCTCAGTGGTCTAAAAATCTCTCCAACTGGCTTGCCTCATGGTGTCCGGGTCACACACGATGTTCATACTGGGCCTCTCCGCCTCCTGGTTTTATTGGGCCTTCCAGATGTCTTTCAGCTCTGCACCTTCCTGTACCCGCCCTGTCTGGCTTCCTCTTAGCCCATCCTGTTCAGCCTGCCTTATCTGCTTCAGTTCAGAGTTCCCCTGCTGCGTGTGCAACCCCTCAGATGCCCTTTTTATAGCCGTGGCGTGTCCCTGACCCGCTCCCGGCGCTCTCCTAGACAGCGGCCCCAGGTACGAACTCGCCCAAGTCCTAGTACTCACCGTGGGCAAGTCCACCTTCACCTCTACAGGGATTTGCAATCACATTTTTCACTTCAGACTTTTTAATGTTTCATACAGCGATTATGGTGCATTCAGGAACCCAACCTCCCAAACCCCACTAGGAGGGCCCCCACCCTGCCCTCCCCCCCATTTGAAGGCCCCAGGGTTTAGAGTGGAGGAAGGGGAGGTAACCACCCATCTGGAACTGACCCTGCCCTGCCTCCCCCTCCCCAGGGTTTAGGGGTTAACACCGGGCATCACCCGCCCCCTCCCGCATGCCCGTCCCTGCCTGTGCACACAGACACATATGGCTCCTCGCTGAGCTGGTCAGTTCCTGGCAGGGCCCCTACTCAACAGCACCGAGTGGGATGGGGGCGAGAGGGCTAGGCTGGGGAGACCCTGAGACGGAAGGAGGCCCCAACTGTGGAACTGCAGGAGGGAAAGAGTGGGGCCCCAACTTGTCCATCTCCCAGAGTCTCCAGTAGTCCTCGGGTACTCCTGCAGCCTGGGATGGAAGGCGGGGAGGGCGTGTGCGTGTGCACGTGTGTGCGTGTGTGTGTGTGTAGGAAGGCGAGTAGTCGAGGCATGCTTGCCCTTAGCCAACCCCAGGCTCTGGGGATGGTCAGGGTTCTGACAGGGGCTGTGTCCCTGCCTTGGGAAGGCTGGGAGCAGGGCTTCATTGCACAAAATACTTTGGGAGGGCCACGGGGGTGGGCCCAGCCAGTCTGTACAGAGATATTGCATTTAAAAAATGAAAACCTCATTTAAAATAATTAAAAAAAACAATGAAAGAAACAAAAAAGGCCCACACGACATGAGGCAGGTGGGGCGGGCAGGAAAGCAGGCAGGGGGCACCTCAGACCCAAGGCATTGCCACGTCTTATCTGAGCTGAGATCCCGAGCCTGCGCTGGCCGGAACCCTCGCTGGCCATGGGGTAGTGATCCTGGGGGAGGGTGTGATGGGAGGGCTACAGGCCTGGCCTCAGTGTGGGAGGCTGGCGCGGCCATGCTGTCCGCCGGCTACTACTGAGACAGAGAGAGAGACAGACAGACCAGGTGAAGGAGCTTTGAGAGCTTTGTTAGCACCCAGCAGACAGGCCAATGGATGTTTGCACAGGTAGCAGGGGACACGTGGGCAGGCGAGCATGATCAGGCAGGTGGGCAGGCAGCAAGCAGGGAGGATGCAGCTGGGGGCTGCCCTGGGAGGGGTGTGGCATCCCTCCAGCTGCTGCCTGCTGGGGCCTGGGTCTGTGGCTTAGAACTCGGTGTCCACCACACGGAAAGCTGGCCTGCCTGCGGGCGGAAGCAGAGCGATGGCTGTCGGTGAACAAGCTGGTGGATGGATGGGGTGGGGAAGAGGGCGAGGGCCACACCCACCTGAGTCAGGCATCGACGAAGAGCGAAGGTTGGCCTCCTTTTGTAGCTGGATCTCCTTTAGTGCAAATATGGAAGTAGCTGTGGGGGAGTGGAGACAGAAGCAGGAAATGACCCTGGGGTCACCCAGAGCCAGCTCCCCTGAAGCCCCACAGGGGGAATTCAAAAAAGCTGCCTTTTCTCTGAGAGGCTTGACTTCCATCTGTGGAATAATCCCACCCCAAATCTAGCTACAATTAGGGAAAATGGAATATAGACTATGACATGGCACCAAGAAAGCATTAATTTCTTACTATTAATTTTTCAAGTGTAATAATGGTATTATAATTATCACTTAACTCTAGGTGACTGAATGGTTGATTTGATTTGGATTAGTCCAATGGGGAGATATACAAAGTGGGCCAAGTTTTTTTTAGGTGCAATGACATTATGTTTAAAAAAAGATTTGATACATGCTGAAATCATTTATAGGTGAATGATATGTCTGGGACTTGATTCAAGATAATCAGAGGGAATAGAGGTTAGGCCAGATTCACGAGCTGATGAGCTGATGGAGAACTTGGGGACTGACTCATATTAGTATTTGGTCTAACACATGAACATATCTAGTTAAAAACGCCCATATTAAAAAGTTGTCAAAAGTCAGATGTAAAAAGAGAACACCCCGTATGCTTCCATTTCTGCAGAGTACAAGGACAGGGGAAATGTATCAAAGCTGTTAGAACCCATCTAGGGGTAACCCTTGGGGAGGGGCTGAAGGAACCTGGGGCGCTTTGGGGGAGATGCGCACATCCTGTTTTCTGGCCGTAGGCCTGTGTCGGGTGTGTGTTGTGAAAACTCACTGTGCTGCATACTTATGACCTGTGCATTTCTCAGTCCATACTTTACAAGGAAATGTTTACTCTAAAAACACACACGTGACCCACCTGCTCGGCTGTCCCCAGCAGTCCTGTTTCCCACAGCCCCTCCCCACCCCCCAACCCCGCTCCGCTCACTGTCAGGAAGTTTGTGGATTCGCTCCCCCAGACTGAGGAAGAACGGGTGTTTCATGGCATCGTCTGCAGAGATCCGATTGCGACCTTCAAACTGGGGGGGGGAGGGGGGAGTGTTGTGTTGACACTTTCACAGAGTAAGCCGCTCTTCCTCCCCACCCGGAGCCCCCCACGGCCCCCGCCCCCAGGCTGACGCAGGAAGTGGTCTCACCTGCAGCAGCTTGGTGAGGAGATCAGCCCCATCGCTATCAAGTCTACCACAAGGACAAGGGCACCTGCTTTAAATTGAGTTTGGGCACTCTGGCCCTCACACACACCCAACCCCCCCGCACCAGCCTCACCGTGGCGCATGGCTCAGAAGGGCCTCGGCACGGTACTTGGGGTAGTTGTGTGTCTTGAACTCTTCATTGGATTGGATGCCCGGCCAGGTCTCCTCGGTTGGAGTTCCTGGAGGGAAGAGGCACTACCCTAAGCATCAGAGGGCCTCCCTCCCGGCCTGCCCCGCCTCGGAGGGCTCCCTCTCCTCACCCAAGATGCGGAAGATGAAGTGCAGCTGCTCCTCCACAGTGGAGCCTGGGAAGAGGGGGCGGCCTGTGGCCATCTCGTAGAATATGCAGCCCACGCCCCTGGCAGGGAGGGACAGGGATCAATGGGGAGGCGGTGACTGGTTGGCCACTGTGACCAAGCTGCCCCCTTCGCCGCATGGCCCCCGCCACGCCGCCACGGGTCCTCACCACATGTCAATCTGGGTGGAGTAGTCTGTGGACCCGAGCAGGATGTCGGGGGGCCGGTACCACAGGGTCACCACCTCGTTGGAGTAGGTCTTCGTTGGAATTGACTTGGCCCGGGCCAGACCTGGGAGGTGGCGAGAAGGGGCGGCTGGGATGGAGGTGGGAGATGAAGGCTGGGGACTGAGAGGAGGGGGTCCTAGGGAAGGGGGGGTGGGAGAGGAAGGCTGGGGGACTGAGAAGAGGGGGTCATGGGGAAGGGGGAGGCTGGGAGAATGAGGCTGGGGACTGAGAGGAGGGGGTCCTGGGGAAGGGGGAGGCTGGGAGAGTGAGGCTGGGGGACTGAGAGGAGGGGGTACTGGGGAAGGGGAGGTGGGAGAGGAAGGCTGGGGGACTGAGAGGAGGGGGTCCTGGGGAAGGGGAAGGCTGGGAGAGTGAGGCTGGGGGACTGGGAGGAGGGGGTCCTGGGGAAGGGGGAGGCTGGGAGAGTGAGGCTGGGGACTGGGAGGAGGGGGTCCTGGGGAAGGGGAGTGGGAGAGGAAGGCTGGGGGACTGAGAGGAGGGGGTCCTGGGGAAGGGGGAGGCTTGGAGAGGAAGGCTGGGGGACTGAGAAGATGGGATCCTGGGGAGGGGGGAGGGCTGGGAGAGTGAGGCTGGGGGACTGAGAGGAGGGGGTCCTGGGGAAGGGGGGGGGTGGGAGAGGAAGGCTGGGGGACTGAGAGGAGGGGGTACTGGGGAAGGGGGGGGCTGGGAGAGTGAGGCTGGGGATCTCTGGGCAGGGCAGGCCGAGGGTACCAAAATCAGCCAGTTTGAGCTCTCCTCTCTCGTTGATGAGTAAGTTCTGGGGCTTGAGGTCTCGGTGTAGCACCTTCTGCCGGTGGCAGTAGGCCAGGCCGCGGAGCAGCTGGAACAGGAACAGCTGGGGACCCAGGAAAGGCAGGCAGAGGTCAAAGAGTAGCCAGCACCCCGACTCCCAACAGGCACTGCTCCCCCTCCCAAACACAGATGCTGGGCCCAGAGCCTCGTCTCACAAGAGGACAGGGCCAGTGCCCGGCAACGGCTCCCAGCAAGGAAGCCAAGGGGACGCCTTTTCTGGGAGGTTTGGGGGCTGCCCTGCTTCCTGCCCCACACCCACTTTCACGTTGTGCATGTTGATGATGTTCCCACAGTCATCCAGGTACTGCTTCAGGTCCTTGTCCTCCAGAGAGAAGATAGAGTACAGGAAAGAGGGTCACATCCTGTCTGGCTATCACCCCCCCGACCCCTTGGGGCTCCCTGCCCCCCAACCTTACCAGGTACTCGAAGACAAGGGTGAGGGACTTCTCCGTGTGGATAATGTCATGGAGCGTGACGATGTTGGCATGTTTGAGGTCCTTAAGCAGGGACACTGCGGGAGACACAGGTGGGACGGGAGAAGTCAAGGCCCCACCCTCAGGGCAATGACAAGGACTAGGCAGGGACGAGCCCAAGGCTTCCTGCTTTCCCTGTGCAGTTTGGAGTGGTGACTCGCAGCCACCAGCTCTAGGCCCCCCCCCCCCCACCATGCCAAAGGTATGTCCCCATGTTCCAGATGTGGCAACTCAGGCTCAGAGAGAAGAGTAGGGTTCTGAAACCGGGCCTTGCTCCAACCCTCAGGCCTGTGGCTTCATATGGAACAGAGTTTGCACGTTCAATTTTGATGCAATTCGAATCATGGCACGTGATGTTCTGACTGGCTACTGCATAGGGATGTCCTCGGAACCCAAGCAAGAACCTTGCTTTCCAATTCTTTTCCAAACAGGACGATTCCTGGTTATCTTGATCACTCCCTAGATGTGATGGGCAGTTCCTGATGACGCCCCGAGTTTCAGGGGGGAAGTATGAGAACCCCCAGTCTCATTATGGGGCCGATCTTCCGGATGTCGGTACCTTCTCGGATGGCGGTGCAGGGCGCGCCCTCTTCATGCTCCAGTCTGATCTCCTTGAGCGCCACGAGGTTGTCTGTGAGCTTGCTTTTGCCTTTGTAAACGGTGGCATAGGTGCCCTGGGGAGAGAGGAACGGTTAGAGGAGAGGAGCTGGAAGCCACAGGAAGTTCCCACTGATCCGCACCCCCATCATGGGCCTCCTGGCTGTCCCTCACCTCTCCCAGCTTGTCCAGCTTGATGTAGGTCTCCAGTTTCCCAAAACCAATCTCAGACTGTGGAGTGAAGGACACAGGTGGAAGCAGGCTCAGGGAAGGGTATAGGGGGAGAGGAGGTAGGGAAAGAGGAAGAGGAAGAGGACAGGAATTGCAGATCCTCACCAAGCTGACACGGCGGAGGCGGCGGCTGAGGGGCTTGTCAAAGATGGGGCTATTGAGGGTCAGCTTCTCAAGGTAGCCCTCGGGCAGCCGGATGTCCGCCGGGAGTGAGAGGCGCTTGTTGATGTCCTAGCAGGAGAGAGAGGGGAGAAACAGGAGCATGAGCTCCACCATTCAGGTCCAACCCTCTTTCCCAGCCCCCCGCCCCCGACAGGAGGGTTAAGCACCTCAGTGGAGATCTTGCGAGGAGGATGGTTGCGCATGCGCACCCTCACTGGTGACTGCACCTCATCTGAGGATGTGGCTGAAGCCTGGTCGCTTTCCCCATCGGACCCCATCTTCAAGTCAGACCCCATCTTCAAGTCCTCGTGCACAATCTCTGGTGGAGGCAACAGGGGGAGGGCAGGCCAGGTGGAATCAAGAGCCCCGGGACACCCTCTTCCCAACAACATCCGCTCATCAGTCAGGTGTGCGTATGGCCCCCAGAGCAGCCCAGGTCCCTTGGGGAGAGGGTCCCTTGGGGAGAGCCTACGGAGGCTCAGACAGGACAGGAAGGGTGAATGGGGCAGGGGAACAGTCACCTAGTGTGGAACACCAGGTTCCAGGGGCGAGCTGAGACTGTGGCTAGCCTGGGGCTAGGGGCAGGCAGAGGCAGCCAAAGACCCAGGGCAGGCCGGTGCCAGGGGGCCTGAGGGTACTGGCAGAGTGTAGAAGCGTGAAAGGAGGCTTCGGGGAGCTGGGGCAAGGCCTGGGCATCAAGCCAACAAAAGGGGCACAGATAGAGAGGATGGCAGGGAAGGGGAAAAGTGGAGAAATGGAAATTAAAAGAACGCAGGTCTACGAGGAGTTTGGCCAGAAAGCAGCACCGGGCACCAGTCTAGGGCAAGGAGGTGGTCAGTAGACCCACCTGGCGCAGAGCTGAGCAGTCCCCGCCCGGAGCAAGGTTCCCCTGGGGCAGCGCGGGTGGGGGCCTCGCCAAGGTCACTGCTACCTCCACCGCCACTCTCGTCCAGGCCGATCTGTTCAGGGGCACTGTTGGTCTTGTCTACACTTCGGCCCCCTCGGAGTGTCATCGACAGCTGCCGTTTGATCTTCTTCATCCGATCCATGGCGACCTGCACGGGGGTGGGGGGACGGGGCATAGATGGGAATGGGACCCATGTTAGCATCTGCCTGACCATGGGCCTCCTAAAGCCCATGACAGCCTAGCGGGGCACACTGACATGAACTTCTGTCAGTGCCCACCCAGCCACCGAGGAGTCCTGGAAGCACTCAGGATTTCTGGAGACCTGGTTTGGACGGCCAGCCCCTGGGGGCCCTGCTCCTAAGTAGCCCACCTGAGCATCGAGTCTTGGGTGGCTGGCTGAGGGCAAGGGTCCAACCGATGGAATGTTGGTTTCTATGGGGGCAGCCCCACTGTGGGGGCAGCAGGTGTTCTTGGGTGCAGCGGCAGTGATGAACATAGCCGTGGGTGGGGAGGGGGAATCGCCCAGGACCTCAGAACAACTGACATAACCCTGGGCACGCCCGTAGAATGGCATTTTCCGCCGGCACCAATCCAACATCACTCCCAACTGTTAAGGCAGACTGCTCTGTAGGACCTCTAACCTCCCCTAGAAACCATTGTCATGGTGACTAGTAGGCTATGCCATTGACCAACCCAAGTGAGGGGTGTAGGGGGAGGAGGGTCCGGCCCAGACACAACCACAAGGGGGATCTCAATGAGTCCAAGCTACCAACAGCTGCTGGAAAGGTTCAATCAGGTTGGGATTCACAGGGTCTCAACCCAGGTTTTTAGAAGCCAGGTCACATTTCCCCTGAACTTGAGACTGTACCACCTCTCCCTTATCCCCCCCAATAAATGGTCCAGTCCTCCATGTGGCCCATATGGTCTGACCCCTTCACCCCTATTACCTCTGGCCTCACCTGGCCCTCAGTCACTGTGGCTGCTGTTCTGCAGCCACACCCAGCAGCCTCGCCTCAGAACCTTTGCACTGGCTCTTCCCAGTACCGGAAATACCCTTCGCCCAGATTTCTAAGACGGTTCACTCCCTCACTCCCTTCAGGCCACTGCTCAAATATTACCTTTCCCATGGGTAATCCTCAACAAATAGCCCTATTTATTTTTTAATTTAAAAAAAATATATATATTTTTTTATTTCAGAGAGGAAAGGAGTGGGAGAGAAACATCAATGAGAGAGAATCACTGACTGGCTGTCTCCTGCACGCCCCCTAACCTGGGGATCGAACCCTGACCTCTGAGCCTATTTAAAATCTCAACCATCCTGAGCTCCCTGCACCTTGTCAATGACCCCCCAGAATTCATCACCTCCTCAGAAATGACACCATCTACTTGTTAGTTTGCTCTACTGTCTGTCTCCTAGACAATCAGCTCCGCCAGAGTAACTTCTGTCTGCTTAGGCCACAGCTATATTCTGAGGACCTGGAAGGGTGACTGACAGAGCAGATGCTCAGAGTGCTTGTGGCAGGAATGAATGACATCAGGGGGCTAAGGAGTCCCTGCTGCTCACGATCCCTGGGCAGACGAGGCGGCATCGGCAGGAGGATGACCTACGTACCTAGATGGGGCTGCTGGAGGGAACAGGGCCACCAAAAGGCTTAGGCTGGCCTTCTTCTGCTTCCACCTGGGCTCTGGGCCAGCCAGGAGGGGGAAAGACCTGGCCCTGGAACCATCTGGACGCACAGCCGGGCCTACGATGGCTGTGGGCCCAAGGGAAGTGAAGCTACATAGGAGGGCGAGGATGAGGCTGGGCCTGGATCCGAGAGAAGTGGGTCATCTGTTACCTTGAAATCAGGTATTGCTCCAGCGGTCCCCACTCCCTGCCTCCACCTCCCTCAGGAGGGGCAGGGGGGCTAGCCTGGTAGAAAGACCGCCATGAAGAGGATGAGCTCCATCAGAGAACCCAGGACACCAACAAAACCCTGGCCCAGGAGGCTCAACCCTGGACCTGAGACAGAGGCAGCTCCGAAGACGGTCCTGTGTCTGCACGGCACAGACCCCAGGCCGCTGGTCTGCTGTGGCGGGGGATGGAGGGGCGGGCGGGGTGGGGGAGGATTAGAAGTAGGGGGGATGGACACTGAGGAGGGCGCTGGAGGAGCTATGGGTCCATGACCTCTAACTGGAAACTCCAAGGGCTGGACAGGCGCCAGGGCTCAGTTTTAGGGAGAGTTTAGGAAGATGGGGTACAAAATCTTTGTATTGTGCAGCACCCCCAGCAGGGGGGCCCTGGGTGGGACCCTGTGAGCAGAGACACCTGAACATATGAACTTGAATCCTCTCATAATACCCACTACTTACCTCCTTACACTACACTGAACCACTGGGGACACAGCCGTCACACACTACTGAGTCCCATAGGATCGCACCATCCGCATCCTGCCCGGACTCCCATGAGCACACACCGGGCCCTCCATGACCTCCTCCTCTCAGCACACACTGGACCTCTGAGAAGGCCCCCTGCGTCTTAACTGCTATCAGCACCTGCAATTACCCTTTATCTCCAACGGCCGCCAGCTCACAAAGCCCCAACGGAGCCCAGAACCTTCCAGGTTCACTCCTACCACTTGGGTCCCTCCCAGGCCCAGCTGCCTGCTAGCTGCTCCTCAGCCCTCACCCCGTTAACTCACTGCTCCCTCTCCGAGACTCTGACCCCCATTACACGCACCTGGGACCCTCTGCGGCTGACCCACATTGGCGTTCACCGATTTTCACTCTGCCCTACATCCATCCCGTGAGCACAAAGCGAGCCTTGCAGACCCCTGACCTGTTTGCGTCCGAGCTCAGACTCCTCCGCAGATGTGACTGTCATCGCCGCACGTTCTGGTCCTCCCCCTGTCCTGTCTCCGCCACCTCCCACCGGCAAAGGCTAGACCTTCACTTCACCCTGACCTCCATCAGACCACGCTGAGCCTCCCGCGGCGCCTCCCAGGGGCACGCCATGAACTCTTCCTCGGCCCTATCTCCAGGGTCAAGCACAGTGCTCTCACCCTGAACCCTTCCCCAGCCCTATCTCCAGCGGTGAACAACCCTGAACGCTGTTACAACCCCGAACCCTCCTCGGGCCTATCTCAGGGGCACATGCTCCGTTATATAATGGCCTGACCCTCATCAGGGCACATCAGGTCTTCGTTCAGCCCGAACCCCCCCCTCCCCTTCAGCCATCCATGGCTCCAATCCACGTTAGCACACCGGGACATTCACATGGCCCTGTTCCTTATTTCTCTTCCTTCAGCTCCTCCACCGCTCTGGGCCTGGCTGATTCCCACCGGGATCCCTTCCCGGCCCCGAGCCTCCTCCTCGGACACTGGAAACCCTCAGCTCTCCCCCTCATTAGCGCTCCCCGGGCCTCCGCACAGCCCGGGCTCCATGGACACAAGAGCACACTGTCTTCCCAGTGCCGGCCTCTCATTAGCATAGGCCAGCTCGCATGCAGCTGGCTCTCCCCCCACTGGCACACACTGAGGGCCTGCGAGGCTCTAAAGCCACATCAGCAGTCTCTGCAACTTCGTCTGTCCCCCGCCCCTCACCCCAACTGACAGCCACAGCACGGCCCAGCCTCCCACCCTCTGCCCCCAGCAGCACAGACCGGGCCCCACGCGGCCCAGACTTCCATTACCTCACCCACATGCCCCCCGCGGCTATGGCCCCCCTCAGCAAGGCTCAGCACCCTACTTCCCCCACTGGGCTGCCCTCCAGGAGCACCTTTGGGCACCTCCCACGCTGCAGTCCTCGTGGGCAAGCACATCGTATGCCCACCATCCTGACCTCGAACCCTGATCCTATTGGCACACCTTCTACCTCTCCCACCTTGTACCCCGTTTGTGTGTCAGCACTTCTCCGACTTCCACTCGCCTATTACCCACGTGTGGGTCCCTCCACCCCCCACTAGCGCACACACTGGACCCCATACCTGGCACATCTCCGATCCCTCCACGGCTCAGGCCCCCCCTTAGCCAACCTTGGCTCCTTCACCACCCTGCCACCCATTTCAGCGCCCTCCGGTCCTTCGATCGCCCCCCTCCCCATCGGCAGCTTCCCACCCCCCAGCTCCCACACCGGGCCCAGGGCGGGGCCAAGGTCAGGGAGGCCCTGAATGACCCCCCGCCCTGGTGCATTCTGGGCGATTTGCCGCGGGGCGGAGGCCCGTGCGGGCAGGGCAGCCCGGACCCCCGGGCACCGCCTAGGGTCCGGGTGGGTTTCGTGGGAGAAAGGGCAGCCCCCACCCCCACCCCCACCCCACGTCTCGGTGACGCGCTCACCGGCGGGGGCGCGCGAGCAACCTCAGCGCCGCGGGGCCGGCGCGGAGGCGCCTGGGGCGGCGGCCCGCGCTGAGGCCGCGCGACCTCCTTCTCCTCCTCCGGTTCGCCGCAGGCGCCCGTCCCAGTAGTCTTCGGCCATGGCTGCTGGGCCCGGGCCGCCGCCGGCTGAGGAGGAGGAGGCGGCGGCGGCGGCGGTGGCTGGGGCGGCGGCGGCGTCCCGCTCAGCCGGCCATGAGCTCGGCCGCTGCGGGCGAGGCCCCCGGGGTCGTCGGCGCCGCTGGGAATCCGAGAGCTCACGGCGGCTCGCGGCTCGGGGCCCGCTGCTCGCGGGGACGCGGGGGCTCCCGGGGCCGGGCTGCCTGCGACCCAACTACCGCGCGCGCCGCTCCGCGCATGCGCACGCACGCGCTGGCCGGGGCGCCGCGGGGAGGGGACTCACCTCGGCCGGCACGTACCACGGCGCCTTCCGCCGCGGGAGGCGGCGCGGCCATGGCGCGCCCACCGGGGGATGTGGCGCCAGCCCTGGAACAGCGACAGGGGGCACGGGGGTGGCTGCTTGGTACTCGGTTACGGCCTAGCTAGGAGACTGCTAGCGAGCGGGCGGCAGCCTGTGACCGGCGGACCGGTCACCACTGGCTCCCCCCGCTCCTTCTCACTTGGTACATCCCAGTGAGAGCAAATGGGACTTTGGCAAGGAGGAAAGAGAGGAAGGGGCCGTCTTAGTCCCCGCGGGTGCCCTGGGAGGCGGGGATCTTAAAGGTTCGCGAGATGACTTTTCTGGGGGAGGCTGCCCGGGGAATCGCTGGCCTTTGCCAGCCGGGCTGCCCCCCCTCCCTCCCGCTCGCCTCCACCACCACACCGCTAGCTTATTCCCACTGTGACGGGCGCGGCCCCGCCTTCGGAGCTGTCGCCAGCCAATCGGCTTTGCTCCCTGGGGTGAGGCAGAGCAAGAATGAAGGGCGTGGCCGAGCCGAGGAGGCGTGGCTTCGCTGCCTACCACACCTCTGCCTGGTTTTCATGGCCGGGAGGCGGGCCCTCCTTTTTGTTCCGAGCTCCTTTCATCATTGGCCAAATATACCGCAGCTGATTGGTCAAAAGAACGTTCAATCAACTTCTGTCCCGCCCCTAACCCTCCCTCCACCCTCTTTCCCAGCCAGGCTCGCGGGGTGGAGCCTCGGCTAAGGAAGGCGGGCCTTAAAGCAGTGCATTACTGCGCATGCTTCCGACTTTGGGCTTAAAGCCGGGTTTCTTTTCCGCTTCA